TACCACCACAACTGCTCCTTTGGCGTTTCCAAGGACCTGAAGAACCAATCGAAGAAGAAAGCAATGAGATTTAGAGAACAAAGGCACTGAATCCAAATGGATGCCATTAGAAGGAGAACTCAAAGAACTTATAGGTTCAAAGTTCAAGACTTTCAATGTTTTTTAACACTCAAAAACCCGATACAAGGTATCGATTCCACAGTTTCTTAGCAACATGAAACCCCCCGAATCTTAGTGAAAACCAATGATTTAGTATCCACATTTAGTTATGCCGTACAAATAGGTTTTCTGCAAAGAGAGAAAGAGATGAGATACCTGGAGGGTCAGTGCACTAGTGTGCTTGGTAACCAAAAAGTTCAACAAGTTGGCCGAATAAGCCATTGCTGAATTAATCAAAAGAAGCACCCACATGTACTGATGCTGTCTTCCAAGTGACAGAGTAACACTTATCACATCAGGCTCCATAATAAGCGTAACAGGCAAAAGGGCTATAACGGCAATCGGGGACATGTACAACATCAAATTCATCGAGTTCAATTTTTCCCTGTAGACGAATGAAAGAAGAGCTCAGACCTTTGCTCAGAGACATGCAGCACCAAGAATTTAATACTGGAAAAACATTAACATAAGATCTAAATTTACAAGAATATAAACCAATATTTTAACTGATCTAGAAGGACCTTTTTTCATGTGTGAGTGAGGGCTCTTGATCAGGTAAACAAGGTTTCATCCTTTGTTCATCCAGCTAGTGGCTGAATTCACTACACTCTTATCCTTGCAAGATACACTGAATAAAAGCAGAGTATAATACTTACCCTTCTGAAGAAAGTAGGATGCCCTGAAGGACAGATTTGAAAGCTCTTGCTGCTGTGGCACTAATGCACATAATGAACCCAAACCAATGAAAACCCGGCTCACCCTGCCGCCAAAAAGGTGCGTAGATCAGAATCACACATACAGAAAACATAAACATGCCCTCCACATATAAAATCCATTTACAAAACTGAAAAATTAATGTGATAGAACCACTTGACAGCTTCCAAGACAACAAGAAACAAAACAAGATAACCTTGTAGGAGAAAACAAACAATGTAGACCACAAGGTGAATAGGAAATGCAATAGTTTTATAAAATGGGATCTACCAAATTGAGCATCTCATCAAACGATAAAGCTTGAAGCTTTAAATAACACGGGACTCAAAAGTGCGAAAGCTTGGCACAGCTGAAGAACCAAGTTAAGAGTTTTGCTACATTCAAGCTCCAGCCTTTCACGATTAATCGAAAACTCAGTGCGATACCATATAATGCATAATCATGGAGTTCCTCAGAATACATCCAGACATTCTTAGAACACACACAGTAATTTTTTTCCTATTTTCTTCAATGCTCTTATCTGGACAGCGGAATCCATGGCGAAAGGAACATTACTCCCGAATCGACAGATACCCCAAATCAGACATCCCAAATCATAAATCTAGGACCCGAGGATCACTGACATCACCCAGAATTCAAGAACCGTAAAACAAGCAGCACCATTCAATACATAAACCATTCACATTGCGAGAATTGAGAAGAAACAAGCATACCCCACTGGCGATGACGACGCCGGTGACAACAGGGACGAGAGCGGCATAGGTAACCCAGGCTTCTCTCTTAAAGGTCATGAAATAGGCGAAGAGGGCGGTGAAAAACGGCGTCGTAGCACCGACGGCCTGGTTGAACGAGACGGGGAGGTAACGGAGGGAGATGTTACCACCGACGACGGAGCCACAGAAAACGATGCTAAGGGTCGTGACCTTGAGGAACTGAGAGCGAGATTTGAGCGATTGGAGGGGAACAAGCTTGAGGAAGACGATGGAGACGTAGCTAAGGATCGCGCATGCCGACATGTGGCACATTGTGAGGAAGATCGGGAATTTGAATCCATAATTGGAGAGGAGGAACTTGTTGAGAAGAAGAACACCGATGTTGGAGGAATACCAGAGCACGATCAAGGAAGAGATGAAGAGGGTTTGCTTCTTCGGCGACGAAGACGACATTTTTGCCCCACGATCTGGTTTCTCCTTCGTCGAGATCGAGATTTGGCTGGAGGTTCCGAGGGAGAAAATGGAAGAAGACGAGAGAAATTAGCTCCCCACCTCGAGGAGCATCAATCAACGACAAAGCTCAGATGAAACCCCCATTTTTTTTTTGTCCTTTTAAATGTCTTTAATTGCTGCATCTCTCATTTATTTTTTGGAAACGTTATTAATAATTCTCTTCCAATTAGAGAATTACTAAAATAGCCTCTCCCATCATTTTATTTTTTTTAAAACATTTCCGAATTCATTGAAGGAAAAAATCCTGAAAACTATTTTATTTATGTTGATAAAAAAATGTTATTTATTTCAAAGGACTCTCAATATTTTATTTACAAACTGTTTATATATATTTATGTTGATAAGATGTATGCAGGTGATTCAAAACTTTCAATAGTCAGAAAGTATAAAATTTAACTCAATTAAATTCGTATTTTATTTATTATTTATAAATAAATAAATAAATTAGATTCTGTCAAAATTTTTTAATTGGAATTCTGATTAGATCAATAGAACAAATTAAAATTAGGTAAATTTAGTTTGGTTTCGGAAATTAGAATTAAATAAGTATTTTAACTTCGATTTTTCGATTAGCAGTCCAAATAATATCCTAGTCAATTGGGTTAGGTATATATTTGCCAAACCCTTTGGCCCCTATATTCTTCTCTTGCTTATGAACTCTTCAGTAATTATACACTAATTAAACATCATTTTTCATTATAAAAATTATTTCTTAAAAAAAGGCTTAAAAATTTTTCAAATAGAAAAAATCAAATTGTGAGGTTTTAATGGAATTTTATTTTTCTTTTTCCTTTTTACTTAATATGTAAACAGGAATAGAGAGAGAGAGAGAAAATCAAGGAATAAAATTCCTACTGAAATTATTTCAGATGTTTTTGGATATTATCGTGTTTAATATCAAAGAGTTTATAATATATATAAATTATAATTTAAATTGGGCCCTCAAAAACTTCTCAAGTGGATCAATTGCATAATGAAGGGAGAAAGCGGAGTAGGGCTTAGAAGCCCAAAGGCCCACGTGGCATTTTGGGTTTTGGTTTTTTTAAAATTATCTCAAAATTATACATATGATTTGAAACTTGAAAGCATATTATGATACGTACCTACTTAGTAAGACTTTTTTTCTTCAAATAATAAAATTTAATTTTCATTTCACCAACTTGGTAGTGTTATTTTATTATAAACTTTCTTTAAAAAACGGCTGGTTCGAGCTGGCACGTAAACTGCATACCAATACCAGCCATACGATAAGGACATTTGGATTTTCGATTCGGTTGTTTTTTTTAATACTGTTTTCGATTATAAAAATATTATAACTATTTAATTTTTATATTAAATATAGTTCGATTATAATTATGTTCTATTGGATTCATATGCATTTTTTTTAAACTGATAATCGAATTGAAATCTGAATCCGCGTTGGAGTCTCAACCCGCGTTCTTAGACCGCATACCATACAAAAGCCAATTGGATTGTTATCTCGTGGCATTTCCGTAAATATTTGAAATCCTAGGCCTAAACTTATACTCAACTCCCGTATATATGTATGATGGTGCTGAATCTCAACTACTATCGCGTCCCAGTCTTTATTAGTAACTAAAAAAAAAATTAGCCTTCTTTGATATTTTAGCTTTGCAAAACGTTGATAATGTCCGGTTACCCTCACGGCTACGGTTACGGCGGGAAACCGCCGTAAATAACACGGGACTCAAAAGTGCGAAAGCTTGGCACAGCTGAAGAACCAAGTTAAGAGTTTTGCTACATTCAAGCTCCAGCCTTTCACGATTAATCGAAAACTCAGTGCGATACCATATAATGCATAATCATGGAGTTCCTCAGAATACATCCAGACATTCTTAGAACACACACAGTAATTTTTTTCCTATTTTCTTCAATGCTCTTATCTGGACAGCGGAATCCATGGCTCAGTCGGGGCACGGCGGTTACGGAGCTCCTCCGCCGCGGCCGGGTCCTTACGGGAGTCCTTTTGCGGCTCTGATCCCGTCGGCGTTTCCTCCGGGTACGGATCCGAACATCGTGGCTTGCTTCCAGGCGGCGGATCAGGACGGGAGTGGGTTCATCGACGATAAGGAGCTTCAGAGGGCTCTTTCTTCGTATAATCAGAGCTTCAGCTTGAGAACTGTTCACCTTCTGATGTATCTATTCACCAACAGCAACGCCAGGAAGATCGGTGAGTGTTTCTAGATTTTTCGAATTTTTACCAGAAATCCACCTGAAACGAAGAAGATTACACACTCTTCCTGGTTCAATCCCTTCTTCTGAACTCGAATTAAGCCTTTGAACCGTCTGGGTATGAGCTCAGCTCCCTGGATATGGAAACCAAGAATCTGATGCATCAAAGTTCCAGTTTTTTTTTTATTAACTTTAATGGAGTTTGGATTAATGAAAAAATGGGGTTAGGTTTTAGGGAATTTTCTATACCATGTTGGCAAATAGACGAAGCTTCCATTTCTTGACTTTTCGTGAACTACATGCAGAATCATTCCCTTCATTTACGCTGAATTTTTGGCTATTATCATAATTGTATTTGCAATAAAAAAGAATGATTCTTGTATAGTCTGGCATTGGATTGATCTTTAAATCTTCAAATGAACTGCCCTCTTGATTATGATCATCCATCCTTACAGGGCCGAAGGAGTTCACTTCTCTGTTTTACAGTCTTCAGAACTGGAGGGTAAGTTCAAGCATGGATTTGTGTATATGAAACTACAACTGCATTAGTTTATGACAGTGAATAACACAAGGTTGTTCTATGTTGGGTTTTTTGGGGATTGGCTCAGTCCATTTTCGAGAGATTTGATAAGGACAGGAGCGGTAGGATAGACACGAACGAGCTGAGAGATGCACTCTTGAGCCTTGGATTTTCTGTCTCTCCTGTGGTTTTGGATCTGCTGGTGTCCAAGTTTGACAAAAGTGGAGGAAGGAACAGAGCCATAGAATATGATAACTTCATCGAGTATGTTAATAATAGTTTTCTCGTTGTTATCCTTTCGTCCTCTGAATTCTGTGCTGATCTTTGCTAATGCTTTCGGGAATTCTGTTTTTGGGTTTGATGCAGATGCTGCTTGACTGTCAAGGTACCCCATCTGACATTATATTTAGATTCTGTGCCTCTGTCGTTAGCATCTGAACTCAATTTTGTTCCTTTTTTTACCTGAATATGTAAGGCTAAGTTCGTCAAATTTTCAAGACAGGGTGAGATTCGTTTGTGAAATACTGTTGGAAACTATCAGTTGCGGTTTAGGGCTTAATCACAGTGAGGTGTCCATGTTGATAGCTGATTAATAATGCTGTGAACTGCAGGGACTAACAGAGAAGTTCAAGGAGAAAGACACCGCATACTCTGGCTCCGCTACTTTCACTTACGAAGCCTTCATGCTTACCGTTCTTCCGTTCCTCATCGCCTAAAGGTTTCACTTTCAGGTCCTACATTGTTTTCTTGGGTTTTCTTTCGATGTTTTCTTTAGCGTGGGAATGATCTGATGTAGAATATAGAAATGAGTAAAATTCTGCCATGTTCAGTTGAATTCTTTCTTGGTTGCTTGCTTTCCTTCTTGGTAAAAGATCTGGGTGATGGTTTTGTAAGTTTCCACGCTGTGTCATACCCTCTAGAGGGTTCTTTGAAGTCGGTTTCTTGGATTTGAGTCAATCTTTCCCACGCAATAACGGGCATCCAACTTCGGACGATTTCTTCATCGGGCCCGATCAGAGCCAGAGGAACAATGCCTTCCAGATCCTGTAATGATTCGTGGGTTCAATCCCATTTGGAATTTTGGATAATCAAGAACTCCTATTGGCGGTTTCAGTTTCCCAAATTCTGACCCTAATATCTGATCAAAATGATCAAACCGGTTTCTGAATCCGATTATGTCCCAAAATGATCGCAGGTGACGCGAGTTCTGATCTTTACGAGCTCAAGAGCTTTTGCCCATCTCGTCCTGAGTACGCGCGCCGGGACTCGTTGGACGGCTAGCCAGTGTCGGACATTTCGTTCTTGTTTCGAGTTTAGGTTTTCAATATATATATATATATAGGTTTGATATCATATTCGCTTTGGTTCGTATGCCATTTTTATAAAAATGTTTATTTTCAAATAAATTTTATATTATTTTTATTTTGTGTTTGAAATTCATTTTTCGATTATAAAGAATTCTTTCAGTTTATGCGCTACCGCTGTCGAGAAACCGGTCCTGAATCCTGATGAGCGGTGATGAGCAACCAGTCACAGCAAAGCGCGATTGCGTTTGAAACGCAAGCGCAAAAAAAGTTGAGTGCTGCGAATGGGACCGATATTGGTTTTTTTTTTTTTTTTGGGTATAAGGGACCGATATTTGTTGGATATGAAATCGACTTCGTTTGGGGTTTAGGATATTTTTATCTAATTGATTTTTGTTTGATACAGTTTTATACACAGACGTTATTTTTTTACAAATAAATTTTATGGATTTGGATAAGAATGGACGGTTAGTTATTTTTATAATATAGTGTACATAATAACCTCTTTCTAATATGACACGGTTTTTATTAATTTAATGCGTGGTTTGGTCATAAGCATTAATCTAATACCATGTTCGCAGAGACTTTGTCGTTACGTGCACGATGTCGAGTTGTGTTATTGAGGCTCCTTCGTTCGTGAACTTGTTTTTTGTGCACTTCTTGCTTATTACATGGGTTATATTTCATTTTTTGTAATTTTTTGGTCCAGCGATTCTGATTTGTTAAAAAAATAAATTTTCATTATGATATTTTTTTTATATTAGATTCAAATTCGTTCAAAGATCCATTACCAATAAATCTTTGTATCTAATAGATACAATTATGTATTATTGGATTAGATCGGAATTCTATATAACGGAACCAACATGTGTATTCTATTGCTTTACCATATACAACATTCATTCAAGATCTGAAAATTTAAATCTCCATTTGTACTCTTAAGAAAAAAAATTGTTCCCAAACTTAAAAGCGAATCAATCAACAAAAAAAATGATAACTTGACCAGCACTACAAGTAATCGAAACGTCCCCCCAACAAGACAACCTCCGACTATAAAAACACATCTCAATATCAAACCCACAAAAAACCACCAAGAACTGGAATTCGATCAAACAAACAGCGCAAATGGATCAAAAAGGGAAGAAAAGATACGCAGTACTGGTCGGATGCAACTATCCGAACACGAAGAACGAGCTGCATGGATGCGTTAACGACGTTCTGGCCATGAAAGAAGTGCTTTTGAGGCAGTTCGGGTTCGAGACCGGCCACGTGGAGGTCCTGACGGACGAGCCGGGCTCATCGGTTAAGCCCACGGGTGCCAACGTTAAGGCAGCTCTGGGTCGGATGGTGGATAAGGCTGAACCGGGCGACGTATTGTTCTTCCATTACAGCGGGCACGGAACTCGGATCCCTTCTGTTAAACCTGGTCACCCCTTCCGACATGACGAAGCCATTGTCCCTTGCGATTTCAATCTCATTACTGGTGAGTTTCTAATGGTAATTGGGATTATATAATGTTATATATACGTTGCTATTAAGCAACTTGTTATACCAAAACCGTGAATTCGATTAAGAAAAACCCAGTTGCTAAATCCTCGTGAAATCTAATTGTTGGGAAATATTGGTTGGCTGTAGATGTGGACTTCAGAGAACTGGTGAATCGTCTTCCAAAAGGAACAAGCTTCACCATGGTTTCAGATTCTTGCCACAGTGGAGGTCTCATCGACAAGGAGAAAGAACAGATCGGCCCTTCTTCCACCATCACCACACTAACCGCAAACGCCGATGTGACGGCGAAACCCAAGGCCATACCCTTTCAGACAGTCCTCGAACACTTGTCTTCTCAGACAGGAATCTCCACCTCCGACGTCGGAACCCACCTCCTCGAGCTCTTCGGCGGCGACGCAGGCCTCAAGTTCCGGCTTCCGGCGATGGACCTCATGGATCTGCTGGAGACGGCGGCGCGTGAGAAGCACGACGCCGGGATCTTGCTGAGTGGGTGTCAGGCCGACGAGACGTCAGCCGATGTCGTCGGAGGAGGTGGGAAAGCGTACGGAGCGTTCAGTAACGCGATTGAGATGGTGTTGAAAGAGAATCATGGTGCCTTGACGAACAAGCAACTGGTAGTGATGGTGAGGGATGTGTTGAAGAAACTAGGGTTTCAGCAGCACCCTTGCCTCTACTGTAGCGATCAAACCGCAGACGCGGCTTTCCTTCTTCAATCGTGAACGCTCATTGAACGAAAACGCTGTTTTCCTGTGATTTCATTTGTGCCTTGCTGTTTGTTATTCTAAGGTTTGGTTTGGCGCTTGTACAATAATAATAATAATAATAAGAATGATAATAATAATAATAATAATAATAATAATGCATTTTTTTGCTCCATTAATGTCCACAAAAAAAATCGAACATAAAGAGAAAATGAAACTTTTTACTAAAAAAGGTTAAAATATCAAGAAATGTAATCTTTAATTTATACAAAATATTATAAAATAAATAAAATCTTTTCAAAACATTAACTTTGTTACTTTCATTGTGACAGTTTTTACAAAGAGTTTTTCATTTTCTGTTGTACTTTTCTGTGCAGACTATACAGACCAATTTCATGCCAGCTCAGCTCAGCTCACAGACTTTGAGTAAGCATCAAGCAACACCTTCCTGAACCTCCGGAGCTCTAGATTCACTTGCTGGTCGTCTAGGTATATCGTCTTCGTGAACTGCCATCCCTTGTTGTTGATACTGTCCGGATCTCGAAGAATTGGATCGTCTTTTTCGTATTTCCGATACAACGAACTCTCTGTAGGAAGAATCTTATAACCGATATAATCCAGACCAAGCTTCCTAGCCGGTTCTCCATAATATGTCTCTGCTGCCCAGTCTGTTCCCAATGGGATGATCTGAACAAAGACACTTCCCGGCCTCATGAACAGAAAATGTGTCATTGCAGCTCCATGGACTCCGACCAAGACATCGCTTGAGTTAAGCTCCTTGTAGAGCTTTGCCAGTTCGGTCGACCTGCGTGGCCTCAAGACCTGGACTTGAAACCCTATTCTCTTTGCCATCTTCACCAGCGTTTCCTCGTTCTTTATCCCCCGAGACCCCTTTCTCGATAACAGCGCAAGTCTCGGCCTTTGCATCCGCCTTGAAACAGCTTTTCTGTCCTTTGCCGGTTCTGCACTAAACCTTGTCTCCTCCTCTGCAACCAGTCTGTTGATTCTCGGTCTGTAGGCTTTGTCCAGGAGATTTCTGAAGTCCATGATTGTTTTGTTATGTTGCATCAGAGAGGGATTCACTGTTAGCTCATCGTGGATTCTAAGGCCAACAATGGCTTCCTTGAAGCAGTGAGTTCTCTTGTCTCTGTCGAAATCAACGAGTGGATAGGCAGAGAGCTGAGAGATAACATCTCCATACTTCAACTCCCACCATTTATGGTACTCAGAGATCACAAAGACGACCCTTTTGGCGAAACGCTGAGACGTTATATACAGCGGAATGATTCCGTCGTTGAACTCGTGATAGACATTCCCGGTGTATCCCCCAGTGGAGAACACTACAGCCGGAACATCGTGATGAACATCACATGTATGTTCGTCTCCAAGCTTTTTTGCATCCCTTCTCTCGAGTTTCAGCTCTCGGATGGTGTCCATTATAGCGGTTTCCCATTTCCTGGTATAGGGTTTGATCTTTCCGTAAGAGACGTGGTTGGAGAAACCGTCTGATCTGTCTTGCGAGTTGTAGAGGAGGATTGAAGAAGAAGGGGAGCGTGTTCTGATATCGCCTTTCATGAAACAGATATCTGTTCGGTACCCGGTTCTGTCACACCATATACCCTCTGCATATTCACCAGAAAAGGAAAAAAAACGTACAAATTTCATTTCACCACAAGATTCAGATATGCAGGAATAGGCATGGATATCAGATCTTCATCCTGTTTGTAATAAACCTCTGCTTGCTACCGTTGAACGCTTGATGAGATCAGTATTGCCATGAACATCAAGTCTTTCACTCACTTTAACAGGAAAATCTGTAAAACCCACGAGAGGAAACGCTTCAGAACAACAGCACAGAAGAAAGAAAAGGGGAAAGACCGATGCTTTTGCATCGTCTGTAAGCTGAAAAATTCGAGTTACTTGTAGAAAAAGGTAGCAGGAGAGAGAGAGAGAGAGAGGAGAAGGCGAAAACGTACCGAGCAGAGACGGAGAAGGAGGGGAGAAGAAACAGAGGAGATGAGGAGCGAAGAGGAAGCAACAAGAAAGAAGAGACAAGAGAAGAAGAGAGATGAGTTTCGGCTTTGATCTCTTCATGCCACTTCGCCGAACTTTTCAAACACTATAACCCTACTTCCTGATCTCCGGATTATGGCCCGCTTACTTGCACCGCAAGCAATATATATATGGAGTTATGATTCTGGACAATACCAGAGAGAGAGAGAGGTTATAGAAAGAGACTGTTTCTGGGTGTAAGCTTCTTCATTGAAACCAGGTGTTCTATATATCTCCGAGAGAGAGAGAGAGAGGTTCAACAATGGTGGTGATGTTGGATTCAACTGTGTATGGCTTTGGAAGTGAATTTTCTTGATTTGGCAAAATACGAGAGAGAGAGAGAGCCGTGTGGGGGAAAACAAGAAAGGGACTCTCCCCAAAAAAACCATCATTTGGAGCTTTTGACTAACTTAACCTCCTTATCCCTCTAATTATTTCTTCCGGTAAATAACATATGTCATAGTTGAAACCATCCTATCATCCTCATATATATATGTATATATATATATATTAATATATATATATATGTATGTATGTATTTAGTATTATTTATTTATAAAATAGAACTAAAATATTATCTAGAACATAATAAAATATGAAAAACCACTTCCTAATACATGTTCACCCGTCTACGCATACGGTCAACATAATGTAAAAGAGCCACATATATTACGAGAATGATGCAACAACCATATATATTCTGAGATTAGGTTATAATTGCAATTAAATAATTAAGATAAGTAAACACATTTGAATATGCCATGTCAAAGGAAAGACTTTATCATATATTAGAGAATCCGAACCGAGGGAGGCTTAACGGTCAAATACATACAAATTCCATGTGTTCCGTCTATAGAAGAAATCTATAAAGAAAAAATATATACGGATGATAATACAGTGTTTATTAATATCGTATAGTATAAGAAAGCTACATGGTGCCTACTGACAAAGACATATATATATATATATATATATATATATATATATATGCATATATTAATTTCTATTACAAGGTTTAAAATTCTGCAAGTTCAATGATGATGAGATGCTGGAAGAATTTTCATATAAATATAAAATAATATGCCAGATGAAACGTCAGAGAAAATAGAGAATAGTATTAGTATTTGTTTTGAAAATGATGATCCGTTCATTACAAAAATTAAAATAAAAATAAAGCGGGTAAGAAGTCCAATATTAATATTTCTCATATATAATTTAAGTAAATATTATATTAGAAATACACACGTTTACGTATGCATGATCAGTGACAACAAGAGATGGTGAGATGATTTTGTAAATCAAAGATTTATATATATATATATATATATATATAGTAAAAGATTTATAAAATTTTTATTAAGAATATTCATACCAATTATATACAAAAAATTCTTATTTTTAAAATAAATAAATATTTCTTAAAACTATCAGAAATAAGATTATTATAGACTTCTGTAACTATATATATCACATTTTAGGAAACTTTGGTTTGGCAAAAAGAACAAAGTTTGCAACATTGCTACGTAAAGGGCGTTATAGAAAATCGAGAGAGCCTTTATTGGGAATTGAGAAATTAACCGTATAATACACAAAAACCTTCCGTCAAACAAAAAGAAAACCTTTTATTTTTTAGTTGAGTTTATTAAATTCCTTTTTACAAAATAGAAAAGTATTATAATTTCCATGCAATATATTTCTTTTATTTTTATATTCCTTTCCATCTAAGTTATATATACACACACACATATATAGAGCTAAGTTAGAGCCAATTTAGGAGATAAACACGTAATAAATAGTCTTATTATTTGTTTTAAAAGGCTTGTTATTCCGTCTTTATAAAAATCTACTTATTTGATAATACCATATAAATTTTGTTTGTATATGATGTTTAAAATAATTATAAAAAAACTAGTTGTGATATATTTACATATTTTTAGTTTTAAAGATAACATTTCTTACACAGGAAAAGAAAAGATTCTCGAGGCAGTGGATAGAGTTGAAACAGAAAAATATTGTCTTCGCACTTTTGTTCGATTTTACGCAATGTGAGATTTCTAATTATTTAAAATTCGATTAATATATAAAATCATATGATTGGTATTTTGGTTGGTAAAACATATTATATATATATATATCATTTTATTTGTCCTCTATTACCTTTCCAATCACACTTCTATAATATTTGTTGTTATTATTATTATTATCAACAATTGAATGAAGTTAGAGATAAATTATAATTGTTTTTTTGTTAATGACAATCAAATGATTTCAGATAACCGAAGTAATTTTTTTTTATATTAGTATATGTACAATCTTCGTAATGTATAATAAAACGAAAAAGAAAATTATTATAAAATAATTTTAATGGCTACTACATCCACACACAGAAAAAAAAAAGCAAAGAAAATTTTGGACAGATGGATAAAAAAGCAGAGTGCACAAATTGTCGATACCGTTACCAATATATACAAATAAATGATATTAACGATTTTAATCGATAAATATAAATGATATACATTATGTTTAAAAATCCACGTAGATACATCGATATTTATGGCTGAGCTACATATACCCATTGAATTCAAAGAACTGCCAATATTTAGTAGTTTGGACAATTTGTTTTCAAAGTATGTTCAAAGTGAATTATTGTAATAAAACAAAATGCCAGCATGAAGATAACCAACATTTTTTTATGTGGATTTATATATCCTAATAATGCCAGAAAGGAAAAGAAAAATTTATTCTATAATGACTTTTTTTTGTGAAATTATATTATTAATATATTTATATAAAAAATAGTGTTAAGACAACGACCCAACAATTATCATGCGTTACTCTATAAATTTCCGGCTAGCGTGTTACTTATTTGGTATAAACATCTATAAAAATGTCTGGGTAATTTTTTTCTTCAAATTTAAAATGAAAATGAAAATTACCAAAACAAATCCAAATCATCATTCAAAGTAACTCATTGCTTTCTTAGCTTTTGTTTGCTTTATATATCTATATATGTTCCTGAATTTAATAACAAAAATAGCCTATTATTGAAAATAACCCATCAAATATTTTTTTTCTCATAATTTTTTTCTCTCAAAAACATATCATAGATATTTAAATTGCCCAGGGATATAAATGAAGTATATGATAGTTTGAATTCAATCTTTTGATAACCAGTTTGCCAAAACATTTTTTTATATCTTTTGGAATTAGATATCTTAGTGTTAAATTTTTTAACAGTTCATATGTTAATTGATAATTTATAAAAATTTAGGAAAATTTTATATAAATTCAAATTCAAATTTTGGTTAATTAATCCAGGTAAAGTTTGAGATTTTTTTTTGGCAATTATGCAAAAAATAAAATAAAATTATGAATGTTGATAGAGGTTGGAGTCCAATGTATTGGACCGGACCGTGTATATCAATCAAGCCCATGTCTCCGTCCAAACAGAACAAAGTATATGACTACGTTGTCAGGTCCAGGAAAAAAATAACGAATCGTCAGCCGTCGGATTATTCAAGGACACGTGGACGATGGATATTAGCTGTATCGTTAACTCATTTCCTCCAATCACCATTTACTCATTTAGGGACACGAAAAAGGAAAAAAAACTGCAAAGAGCGAAGAGGAATTTGAAGAAGGCGCGACGAGGAAGGAGGTGGCATTCTACGTAATTAGGTTGAAATCGGCGCCTGATTAGATCAAGGAATTAGGGTTTTCGAGATTTTGGAGGGGACTTGCAATGAGCGACGCGTACTGTTCGGATTGTAAGAGGCAGACGGAGGTGGTGTTCGACCACTCCGCCGGCGACACCGTGTGCTCGGAGTGTGGGCTTGTGCTTGAATCGCACGCTATCGATGAGACCTCGGAGTGGAGAACTTTCGCGAACGAGTCCGGAGACAACGACCCAGTTCGTGTCGGTGGACCGACCAACCCTCTTCTCGCCGACGGCGGACTCACTACCGTCATCTCCAAGCCCAATGGCTCCTCCGGCGATTTCCTTTCCTCTTCTCTTGGTCGGTATCAGAACCGTGGCTCCAACCCTGATCGCGGTCTCATTGTCGCCTTCAAGACCATCGCCACCATGGCTGACAGGTAGTGATCGATGAATATTTAAGGTTTCTGGGTGCTTGGACCAGGTTAGAATCTGATTTCGCTTTATGAAGGCTCGTTTGGAGTACGGTTTGGTGAAGAACGCGTGAAAGACAATATATTAGGGGTTTAGTTTCTTAATCTGAATTTGGTCTCTAAAATCTAGGTTTGTTCTGTCCGCAATTCCGAGAATTAGGGTTTCTAGAAGCAAAGATCGACCTTGATCTTGATGAACCGCGTGAATGGGTTTCATTTTCTTAGATGGGTAATCTTTATGTAGTTCCCTTGTTGTAATACCCACATTGAGCGCAAGTGTGTTTCACTAGAAACTAGGAAATAGTTTGGTGAACAAGCCTTAAGCTATCTTAAAAAGTTTCAACTCTTGATCTTGATCTGTAGTATTTACTCCATGAAGCTCAGTGTCATATTTCTCAAGCTCTTGCAGATAAATCTTTGTCGGAATGCCACTGTGTTTCTGTATGTGAAGTGCCATTTCCTTCTGCATTTGGCATGATTGTGGCTTATGTTGAGCTGTTGACCCATTTGTTTTGTCTGAGAATGCCTACCGAGATAATATTACAAGGTTTTCTTGATAAGCTAGAGTGCTTGACAAAGGTGATACTGATTTGATGAACCTTGTGTTCCAGGTTGGGCCTTGTTGCGACCATCAAGGTATGCTGTGCAAATCGTGATCTTACTATTGGGCATCCTTTTCTCAAAACCAAACCTTGATTTCATTTTTCATGTTAAAAGTCGGTTTAATGACTCTTACTCGAAAGAGGGGAAAAGAAGGACATTGGTTGTTCTTTATACAGTGTTCACCATCATTACCTGTCTTACACATCTATATAGGATTTATGATTGGTTTTACGGTAGTTTGTATAACCAAATTGTATGGCAGCCCATTATGTTTAAAGAAACATTTTTCTAGTTGTTTGGCCTAATGTCCCTGTTTTATCCAAATCAATTGAATACTTTGTATCATTCATTTTCCCACTGTTGTGAAGGATCGGGCAAATGAGATATATAAGAGGGTGGAGGATCAAAAGTCTAGCAGAGGAAGAAATCAGGACGCTCTTTTGGCTGCCTGTCTGTATATTGCTTGTCGGCAAGAGGACAAGCCACGGACTGTGAAGGGTACAGCTTAAGAACCTTCATATTACTGGTATTCTTAATCATGCAGCTTTCCCTTTTTTCAATGACATCCTCCAACCCTCTTGATTTCGAGTAGAAATCTGTTCTGTTGCTAATGGAGCCTCGAAGAAGGAAATCGGCCGGGCAAAAGAGTACATAGTCAAAACATTGGGTTTGGAAACGGGCCAGTCCGTGGAAATGGGGACTATACATGCTGGGGACTTTATGGTGAGTTCTGAGTTTGACCCTAGAGGAGTTTGCCCAGATGATGTTATTGTCAAGTTATTTAGTGAACATGAGCTTCAATTTTGCAGAGGCGGTTTTGCTCCAATCTTGGCATGACCAACCAAACCATGAAAGCGGCCCAGGAATCTGTGCAGAAGTCAGAAGAGTTCGATATAAGGTAGGTTATAGCCAGCCAGCCAGCCGTTCTTGCATCACCCACCACTTATACAAAGGAAGGATTAACGTCGTTATATACATATCTGTATAAATGTTTACAGGAGGAGCCCTATATCAATTGCAGCTGCTGTCATTTACATCATCACACAGCTCTCAGATGACAAGAAGCCTCTTCGAGGTCAGTTTCCCACTCTCTCTGCGTGTACCGTAAAATAAAACCAATGTTCATATAGTGGTGAAATCTCTCGGCTGCAGATATATCAGTGGCGACGGGAGTTGCTGAAGGAACTATAAGGAATTCGTACAAGGATTTGTACCCTCACCTTCCCAAGATAATACCCGCCTGGTACGCCAAAGAGGAAGATCTCAAGAATTTGCAGAGTCCTTGAGTGTTTTCTCTCTTCTTTTTCGGTGTTAGTTTGAGCTTTGAACTTGAATTTGTCCGCCGTCATTGGAGTGACCATGTTATTCATGTGTCGAGAAGTGATTTCGGCCGATGGATGGAACTTTCTTTGTAAATTTAAATCGTTTACACGGTGCCAAAAACTTGTCTGATGCCAAAAACTTGTTGAGATGGTATTGATCCTCCAGTTGTCGCCAAGGTTCATCTCTACATGTCCTAAAAGCTCCTACCTCGAGCTTGTGATCGATCGGTTCTTTGACGAGCCGCGTCCAGATCACGTGAGCACCATGGCCCAGGACTAAAACTCTCTCGTGGCGTTCGAGGCCGAGCTGAAAATGTTGTTTCATACAAAAGTTGAACGTGTCGGAACCTAGAATGAAACGGTACGTGCTTTGCTCGAACCGGACCAAGGAATCTCGGTCGTGTTCGTTGTACTGGTACGTGCGTTCCGAGCTCGTGATATTTTTGTTTACCGGTCACAATTAATTGGTCGTTGATTATCTTTTTACATATGTTATAGATTTTATTGCATGTTAAAAAATCATCGTAATATGTTTAGTTTGACCACGACTCAAGCAGAAACCGCCACGTCACGAGGTAAGTGACGCGTCACGGGAGATGCAACGCCACGCGCTTTATCGTGCGTGGCCCAGCGAGTCAATAACTTCCCTTCTTTTTTAAATGACGGAAACACCCCTACCAGTATCCAATTACCCTCATTTACGCACGGTAATCGAAAAGGTCAAATCGGTAATCTCTGGTGGAAATGGAAAATAGAAACTCATATTCCCAGCGCAGTGGATGGACCATCATCTTCGTCGTCATCAATCTTCATGGTCGGAGAATTCAAAATTTTAACCTCTCAAATTCTCAATCAATCCCTCTCCGCTACTCATGTCGGTGAATTCCCTCCGCCGCCTTGCCGCCAGCGCTGTCGTCATTGCCGCCGCGTCCGGAGGCGCCGTTTACCTGACGCCGTCCGTCGCCTCCAGCGACAGAGGCGGTGGTCGAGGTTCAGTGTTGGACTCGCTTAAGCTTCGGATTGGTGATCCGAGCGCTACGGTCCCTTCGCGATCCGTCCAGGAGTCGGGTCTGATTGGAGCGAGCTTCTCTAATCCGCTCGACATTCTCGTCATCGGCGGCGGAGCCACCGGTTGCGGAGTGGCTCTCGACGCTAGTACTCGTGGTCTTCGTGTTGGTCTTGTCGAGCGAGAGGACTTCTCGTCCGGGACTTCTTCTCGGTCAACAAAGCTTATCCATGGAGGTAATTCTACACTTCTGTTCATAGGCACAGAGGGTTCAAGCATTTAAATTTCGTAATTTGCATTCGATCTTGAAAATTAGGAACTAGAAGTCCTCTCCGAATTTCTGGGAAGATTTGGAATTGTGGAAGCATTGATTGGTTGATCCGCTGAATTTGGATTATATCATCATCTAGGCGCCAATTTGCGTATTTTTAATTGGAGAAAATGCCACTACTGTCAGTTTAAGAAATGGAAGTGGTCATGAATTATCACTAAATTGTTAGATTCTAGATTTAAGCTGTTGCAAGATTTGGAGGATTCTCTTCACGGAGCGAGTGAGTAGTTGCTATCTGGTGGCACTATTTGTATGTCCTACGTACCTCAGTATCAAATACCCATTGTAATGCCCTTTCTGTAGATGTGGAAAAGCAAACTTTGGCCAAACATTTTGGCCTTAAATCTAAATTGTTCTGAGTTTGTGGGGTAAGTAGCTGGTCATTTCTGTGGATTTGATATGCAAGTTACTGTAGCTTTTCTATAGTACATGCATTTTCAAGATTTTGTTTTTAACATAATCACAACATAGTGGGCGCTGCGTAAGAGCTTGGAAAAGAATCATCTTCTGGTGGGAAAATTCTGGCAATTGTTCCTTGAGGTTGAGGCAATGTAGTTATGGCTTGATACTTCTTTATTAAGGTTTCCTTAATGCGCATTTCATATTTTGTTTTGCTAGAATTTTTCTCACGTTTTTACTTTGATGTGCATATTATATTTTAATTTGACAGGGGTTCGGTATCTGGAAAAAGCTGTTTTTAATCTTGATTACGGACAGCTGAAGCTAGTTTTTCACGCGCTTGAGGAGCGTAAGCAGGTCATTGACAATGCACCACATCTTTGTCATGCTCTGCCCTGTATGACACCTTGTTTTGACTGGTTCGAGGTAATCTACTACTGGATGGGATTGAAGTTTTATGACTTGGTCGCAGGAGCACGTTTATTGCATTTGTCCAGATATTACTCTGCACAAGAGTCGGTCGAGCTCTTCCCCACTCTTGCGAGGAAAGGCAGAGACAAGAGTTTGAAGGGAACTGTCGTATACTATGATGGGCAAATGAATGATTCGCGTCTTAATGTGGGTTTGGCGTGTACTGCAGCATTGGCTGGTGCTGTGGTGCTCAATCATGCTGAGGTTGTTTCCCTTATAAAGGATGATGTGACTCAGAGGGTAATCGGTGCACGGATTCATAACAATTTATCAGGTAAAAAGGATATGCATACTTGTTTCGACTATTAGCTGTTCAACTCAAATTTATCTTTTATCGGTTACTCCTTTAAGGTCGTAGACTCGTATTGGTATAATTTTGAATATGTTTTTCGCTGCCATATATTTGCAACAGGACAAGAGTTTGACACCTACGCAAAAGTAGTTGTGAATGCGGCAGGACCCTTTTGCGACACGGTAAGGAAGATGGCTGATAAAGAGGCAAAACCAATGATATGTCCAAGCAGTGGTGTACACATTGTGTTACCTGATTACTATTCTCCTGAAGGAATGGGATTGATAGTTCCTAAAACTAAGGATGGCCGTGTTGTCTTCATGTTACCGTGGTTGGGAAGAACTGTAGCAGGAACTACAGACTCTAACACCGAGATCACTTTGCTTCCAGAACCTCATGAAGATGAAATTCAATTCATTCTGGATGCAATTTGTGACTACCTCAACATCAAGGTCCAATTAATCCAAACTGGTCAAATTTATTACATTTTGGTGAATGAGTATACCGAGTAAGCTTTGGAAATTTTCTAGGTTCGACGCAGTGATGTTCTTTCTGCTTGGAGTGGGATACGTCCATTGGCCATGGACCCGTCAGCAAAGAGCACGGAGAGTATCTCCAGAGATCATGTAGTCACTGAGGATTGTCCTGGTTTAGTTACAATCACAGGTGGAAAGTGGACTACATATCGAAGGTAACGTTTTCTAGTTGTTAAGAAATCTGTTCTCTATTTGTAGGTCTACTCTCATTCCCATCTCGTGGTCAGAAACTTTCTTGTCGGGAGTACCCAGAAGATACATTTCCACGTGGATGGAACAAAAAACGTCTTCCAGAAACTGCTCTCTTTCTTGAGTTTCTCTCATGGCCTTGTATTACTCATAACTATAACTCGTTTTCAGCATGGCAGAAGATGCGGTTGATGCAGCGATCAAATCCGGAAAACTGAATCCGACCAACGGTTGTGTAACCCAGAGACTACAGCTAGTGGGTGCTTATGGATGGGAGCCGTCGTCATTCACAGTTCTCGCCCAACAATACGTGCGTATGAAGAGAACCTACGGTGGTAAAGTCGTCCCAGGGGCGATGGACACCGCTGCGGCAAAACATCTATCTCATGCTTATGGCACAATGGCGGAACGAGTCGCTGCCATAGCTCAGGTCAGTCCAGGTTTAATCTTCTTTCTTAGCTAATAACTGACAAATATTTTCATAATAATCTGAATACGGAATATAACCTGAATTCCATCATATTGTTCTTTATTTCTAATTCTAAACTTATTTAGATTACAACTTTTGTCCGTAGAAGGTAACACTAAACTCGGGGTGTTTTTTCAGGACGAGGGCCTCGGGAAACGGCTGGCTCACGGGTACCCGTTCCTAGAAGCGGAGGTTGCGTATTGCGCAAGGCACGAATTATGCGAATCGGCGGTAGATTTCATAGCGAGGAGGTGTCGGATAGCGTTTCTAGACACAGACGCGGCAGGGAAGGCGCTGCCTAGGGTGATAGAGATACTGTCGGCCGAACACAAATGGGACAAGTCGAGGCAGAAACACGAGTTGCGAAAGGCCAGAGAGTTTCTCCAGACTTTCAAGTCTTCCAAGAACGCTCGGTTCCATGACGGCAAACACTAAAAAGCAGCCTCGGTGGATGACAAGCTCGTCATCGATCCCAAACGTTTGAACTCAAAATGGGATAACTCAAATTCTTGAATATTTGATAACACGATTATGTGTATGTGCACAATCTCACGTATATACATTTGTTATCTATATAGGTCACAGCTAGGTTGGAACACGGGCCGGTACTCGTCCCACACGGGCACCCGAATTTTCCACACTCATCTCTGCCCACCCTCAACCACCGCATAACCTCACCTCGTGCCATCCTCATCGTTCACAGATACCGGATTTCCGGGGTTACTTGCTCAGTCTTGCAGGCCAGACCACCTCTTTTTAACCGATGTTGCTTTGTCCTTTGTTTTCTCCCGTAGGAACGAAAACAATCACTTAGGAAAATTTACAAGAAATCTCTTTACCAAAGAATTTGAACAAAGACGAGCTCTCGAGAAATACACGCAAATATAGAAACATTTAAAAAAGAAAAAAGAAAAGAGGAAACAAAAGGCAAAGCAAACGCTACACAGACAGACAAATGAAATATAATACTGAAAACTGGAAATACCCACAAAACCCAGACTTCGATCACAATCATCATACACATGAAATTATATAATAAGCTTTCAAGGATTATAGGCTTCATGACTTTGCCCTCTTGTCTTGGTTCTCACCATTATACTTATGCACCTTATATTGTATCCTGAGATTGAGATGCATAAGCTTGTTGGTGTTTCCGTTGTTTGCGAAAGCTACCACCTCCTCTTAGATTGTATTCATTCGATATGCTCGGGAGAATGTTAGTGAGAAAGAATTTCCGAGAGGCGAGCTTGAGCATCGGGAGGAGTCTCTCTTCCGGGTACATTCACCTTCAAAAGGTTGGAGTACCTGTAAGAAAAATAAAATGTCGTTTCGTTATTCCAAACATATCATGTGTTTTGGTAAAGTTCAGATTGAAGGAAGGCTGGTCGGAAGAAGAGAGAAAGAGACGGACTCTGTGGCTGTAAACATTTGGTCGTGCTCCACTACAAAGGCGATCAGTGCCTGCAGATTTGTGCAAAACATTAGGTGCATACTTTCGACTTATAAAAAGGCTTATGTGAAGAAAAAAGAAGAAAAGGATAAAAGAAAAGAACAATATGAGAACGAGGAATGTGAATTAAGCGTTGTGTTGCTAACCTCGAATGGCATATTTAGCAGTTCAAAGTAAGTGCGGACGAGATCTAATCTCTGTTGTACAGCTTCACCATCAATAAATGGAATGGCAGCCAGAGCCTGCAGTGCCAATAGAAGAATGTAAACCGTTAGAAGTCATTGACATGATTTTAAAAATAAAAGAGTTGATCCGAAAACCCTAGTTGGGATGGCTCAGTTTTGGGGCTGGGAAATTGGTCTTCACCTGTTCGAGTGCAATAGAATTCCGGCATATCTGTTGAACCCCGAAAAGGTTTATCGATCTCATGTCAGCCAAAGCCTACAAAACACATGATGAGAATAACGAGAGATTGGAAGGAAATCAGGAACACTTAGATGCTGATTTATAGAGGATGGTGATTTAAATCCTGCGACGAAATTTAAAGGATGGAAGACCAGGGGCATACCTTAATTGAAGCATTTGCTGCAATTCCGCAAATGCCACCGAAAACGTAATTCCGCTTCTCTCCAGAAATGAAAGGTGCCATTTCCTCATCCCTACGTGTTATCTGTAAGATTCCAGAAAAGAGATAATTATCTCCCACATGTTCTACATCTACAGAGAGAATATATCATAAGATTAATAAGATGTACTAACCTGTGCAGTGAGAGAAATTATGAAGTTATCCGGTTCTTCAGCATCTTGATCCTCTAAGTATTCTCTATTTGTCATTTCCTATTCAACATCACAGTTTTCGGTTAATCGAAAAGGCAGAGAAATTGAATTACTATAGTCTAGTCGGCATTCTAACCAAATGAACATCCACAACAAACCTGCAGATGAAAGATTGTTTCCAATTGCATCTCAACACGTAAAACCTTGAGACAATCAGTGGAAAGTTTTCTGTACTCATCAGCAAATGACGCTAGATTCCTAGTGGGAGCTGTTTTGCTATTACCCTCTGCTTGACTAGCTGAAAGAGGAACTGCTTGTCCAAGCCTAAAGATTTGGAAAAATCCAACATGAGTTATGCTGCTGCACATGGTTTCGAATTCAGAAAAGGGTAACAGACAACACTAATTAACAAAAGGACCCGTTGAACCATGCGATCTTATCTTCTACAAGGCGTGTGAAGATTGTTAGTTTCTTTGAAACTGATATAAGAAGTAACCGATCAAACCACGTTAGAATTGTTTTTCTCTACATAGCCTTTTCCCTTCACATTTCTACCATCCTATATCAGTTCCGTCACAATTCTTCTCTTTTTTTATCACATCTCTGAAGACATCTACGATTCACGTAAAGGAAGAACAATGCAAGAGAGCACGATTTCATAAAAGCTATCCTTCAAATACTCACTTCTCAATTGAGTCTGCAACATATTCTAGTGAATCACTAAGGGAGGCTAACAAAATCAGTTTGTTGTCATCACGGATTAGATTATCCTGCAAAATAAATACACAATCAGCCCTAGTCTTCACCAAAGAGAAATAGCCCAAAAGATAAAACTTCATTATATCAGCTTCCGGAATTCGCATGGTGATTTACCTGCTTAATAGGCCGCAAACCCAAGAATAGTTCACTGAGCTCCAGTTCGGTGTCAGCACCTTCAGAGTGAGAAATAGATTGGCCACGGAGAGATGGCAAACATGCACTAGCTGGATCAAGTCGCATCAACCTTTCAATATCATGCCTCCCAATGAGCATATAACTAAGCTTCTCAAGAACCGCCTGATACATTTACCATAAAACTCACGCTCAGAAATTATTGTATGGAGGAAGAAGCACACCACTTCCAATTTCGGAGTAACTTCAGCGGGGCAGAATTGGAAAGATATTGTGAATCCAAATGCAGATGCCACTACTCAGCTTGGGTAAAATATGGTCCTAGTCTAGCTGTGTAGATGTTCAAACTGTAAATTCTCCCCCCTCGTTCTATGAGTCAAACCTTTCCACGATGATTCATTACAAAGCATTTTAAATCCATGTTTTGTTAGAAGCCAGAAAAACCTTAAATCAGGTTCCAAACAGCAAGTGTAAAATAGTAGAATCCAAGGAAACAGAAACAAAGCACTGAGGAGAAGGAATGAGAAAGAAGAAAATGCATGCCTCCATGTATGAAGTCCGGCATCTCTCATATGTTCTCTCAAGGAAAGTCTGAACATACTTCACAAGGTCAGCAGAAAACTTGGGCATGGCTTGAGCCCAGCCGAGAACCTAGACAGAGGACAGCGAGGAAATGCATCAGGAAAGCTAGAATTTGATACTTCAGAAGGCGTAAGAAATTCTCAAAATGAATCGTTAGCAACCTGTGCACTAATCTATTGTTTTTAAAAGACAATAAGAACATGAAATGCAATTGAAGTTTACTTGCAGCTTAAACGCATAGATAGACTTGCCTCTTTTGCAAGGAGATCAATCGCCAAAAGACCTTGTAAGATAGGTCGACCTTTTTCTACAATTGGGGTGTAAGTGGTGGTTGTATGCGCACGGGGCCGAAATGCAGCTGGACCTGCCAAAGTTTTTAATAATTTAATGTGTGCAACCTCGAATTGTACACAAATGCACATGCTGTCTGTAGTTCTTTTTCTTTGAACATGAAAGGGAAATATTCAAGCATAACTGTTACTACCAAAATCCAACGCTTGAAGAAAATTGTGGAATATACTATCGAAGAAGCTTTAGTTTCCAACTAATGTCAATATGCTAACATCCACACATTTCAACTAATTTTATACGCAAATGCAGCTGCTACCATCTTGCATTCATTAAAATCATTGTATTAAGAACTACAGAAGCAGCTAAGCAAGCAAGTCCATACCTTGACCAGATATATTTAGACCAAAAACTAAATAGCTACAAATATTCTTTACTTGAGCTCTATAATCTAATGAACTTACTTGATATAGCTTGCTGGACACCTTTCCTGTAGTCCACGAACATCGTTGGCAACAGATGATCCTTCACGAAGTTCTCCACAAATGTGAGCAGTCCATCATTCCTGCAGCATATGTTCGGAATTAGATATTCATAAGTTTTGTCAACTTAGCAGCACAAAAAAGACAATTATCAGCATGTGATATCAGGATTTATTCTGGAGTCAACAATAGGAGTAAACTTTCCTGAAGAAAAGATTATCATAAGAAATAGTTTTGAAGGATGACGGCAAACCGCCATCCGCATCACCCGAGGCAACAGAAAATTAATAGATCCTGTGGAACTAAAATAAGAACTGAGAAAACTTTTTTCATTGCGACCTATGTCAACTAACATAGCTAATATATTTCCATGAAGAAAGGGCTATCTGTATAAAGGATACTCGTCTTAGCTCAGCAGACAAGCATCAGTTTTGAACTTACCCAAGCTGGGAATGCTTTCTGGGCAACATTGAAGTGATTTTATCTGTGAACTGCAAGACACATAAACCTTCAGTCTACCAGAAAACTGCTGACAATTAAATGAAAAAGCTTAGATGAATCAGAACCAAAACCTGAAGGACAGGCCTGTAAACAGAGGCAGCTAGGTATATGCCTTGTTCAGGTAAAACTGCAGCAGATCCATAACCTTCTTGTGATGCATTTGAACCTCTCTTACCCCAGCCTTGACGGATGAGATCGACTCCTGACAGAGCACTCAAAAATTATCAAAACATGAGAGCCAAAATCATCAAAACTAAAGAAAAGTAAGGATACTATACGTAAAGCTAAAGCTGCACCATACCCTGGTTAGAAATTGATACAGTTGCATCAGTAAAGCGAAAAGTGAATGTCAGACCATCTTCAGATGCGTCTCTGTAGTCCACCATCACCAATCAAGTATCAATACTAAATAACACGACTGCATAGTCAAATGCATATCTACAACATATTTCTATTTAACATTACAGATTTTATGGAAGATTGAGGGAGGGCAGGAATACACCTGTTTTTGAGAGTTTAACAAGTTAGCAACATGTGAGCTATTTTTTATATTGACATCTAACAGGATACTGTGAGATGTACAAACCACAGCTTTTGGACAACCACAAAAAGCACTGAAAACATTCAGTGAGAATCCTCTCTAACTTACAGAAATTAATACATTAACTATTTTCACTGGCATTAAATTGATTCACGACCCCAAGACTGTGTGTTTATATATGTACATATATATATGAAAACCAAGCTTATTACAAAATTGCTGAGTTTCTTTTTGGTCATTCTATCATTGTCTTAGCAGCAAAGGAGGTAAACTATAACGAGCAACCATCCATCAAAAGCAAGCCAAATAAAAGGTGGCCTTCTCCAAATAACTAGAAGAAAGAAACTACCCTAATACATGATTTAAGTCAATTACCTTTTCTCTTTACCAGGATTCTTGCTTGCAAGTTTAGCTGTTTGTGCAGCAGCATCTACAGATGCAGCTTCAGGAGTTGCTCGTAGAATCTCACATATCAGTTGTTGACATTCACTCTTCATCAAATAATGCATAGATTGATAAGTCCAAGTTATGAGATAACAATAGTTTAATGAATACTCTTTAACACATTTTGCTTAATTGCAAATAGGCAGACCTGAAAGACTGTCAAAGGAAGGCTGATAGTGTAGCCTCCAGTAACTTGTGATGCTTCAGAATCAGGGTTCCAATTTACATCCGTGGGCAATGACTTTGGTGTGTTAATGTCATGTTGGGCCGACTTCAATTCTAAAAGCTCTCCAATGACAACATGATTTTCTAGAAGAGCAAAAGTTAAGATATTCAAGTTTTAACTGTAAAAAACAAAATATCAGAATGAACTTTAGAGCTCAGTTCTCACCAAATATCTTAACAACAGTATCCAAAATTGAGTCAAGAAGTTCTCTTGCTGTAGCCTGCGCTTTGCCTGCAGGAGCCATCAGAGGTGAAACGGGGCTCACAGCCAGGAGAGTTCCTGAATTTGACTTCCCGTTTTGATGTTTCTCTTTTAATGCTCTGTAGCCCTCTAACTGTCCTTTGATAAGATGCAGCCCTGCTACTGAAGTTCGATCACCCTGACTAGCGACGCACTTTGAAGAACTTGCAAGCTCTGCATGAGCTTTAATCTTTGATATTATGATCTCATGAATTGTGGGCCGAAGTCTTTGACTGCACGACACCAGAACCAGTAAAAGCACTAAATAAAAGACAAATTAAGAGTTTCCACAAAGGAATATAACAATACACCTTGATAGATTCTCAAATGAAAAAACTAGCAGGATTCCATAAAAGCACATATTCATTCATCTTGAAAGGATGAAATATTACCAGGACTTCAAAACTACCAAAGTATGTTTAATAAAGATATTTACAGCATATAGTATCTATATGATTGCTACCAGTGGCAACTCAACAAAGCATCAGATCTACCAGGGAACTAAAAGATGTCATAGGCGTAAGTTTTTCTATATATATCCCAACATGTAAAAGAACCATCACAAGAAAGCTTGTTCCAAACCATTTCTTAGAATGAACCACATATAGAGAGCAGGAAACCAACCATATTATAGCACCTGCAGCTGCAACCTTTCCAAGCATGCAGAGGCACTGAACAAGGGTCTGCAGATACTTCACATGAACTGGAGCATCACTCTTTC